TGCTGAGCTACATCATTTCCYAAATATATCATCTGTATTGGAAGCACTTAGCAAGTTCTGGATTGACAGAGTGTATGGATCAGTGAAGCTGGAGACCATKTATCTTTTAAATTATCTAAACATATTCTTCCCACTGTGCCTACTTTGGTTGTTATGTTTGGGTCATAGCATATACTGTACAGGTCTCTTGATATTTTTCTGAAAATACTTAATATTTTATGAGGTATCCTTAAGGAGGAGAAAGACATCAGAAAGGCTCTTTGATTCCCTTTCTGTCTTGACAAGCACAGGAGTGGATTTCCAGTGGAAATTACAGACTCAGGGGGCAGGGAAGGGTCAGAGCTTATGTCCAAAATGCCAGGCTGATCCTGGCCCAGCGTGAAGATTACTGGCATGCCATTTGCAAAACTGATTCTTTCACAACACCAAATTTATGTGGAATGTCTTTGTGTGGCATTTCTAACCCCACTTCATCTACCATTTCATCACACATCCCTTGAAGGAGGCATCATCTCACCATAACTGGTCCATCTCGAAAAACTGCACATTTTTTTCCTGAAATGCACCAGCTAGAAACACTGAAACACAGTTTACAAAAGGGATGAGTGAATTCCAGAGATGAACTGTGCACAGTTTCCACAGAGGCAGAGGTTGGAGCTGAAAGCCATGGAGATGCAATGCTTCCCAGTTTTGCAGCSCACAAGCAGAGCTGAGAGATATTACAACACAGAGGCACATCAGAGTTTTCTTTGTTGTTTGTTCAGTATTTCTGTTTTGCCTTTGCAAGGATCTCAGGCAGCTTCACAGCTGATGGCTTCAGCACATGCACCCCTGCCTTCGTGTCAGCCTTGTAACTCATTGCATAAACCATGTCAGGATGGGTTAGTTACTCTTTGCAAAGCACTCCCTGAATGCTGAGCAGTGTTTGCCTTTTATCTCCACCTCTCGGTGGGCACAGATCTCGTGTTTAAAATCCTGAGTGTGACGTGCCTGCCTTAAAAGGTTTTAAGATGTGTCTTCCAGGAACTGTGCTCAGCTCAGTCCATTAGGGTAATGCTGCTCGTTCAGTGGAGTCGCTCATGATTTATGCTGGTGTAAGTGAGACTGGAATCTGGGCCTTGMTCTTTTTAATGCAAATTCATCAATTCTGTTAGATAAAAGATGAAAGGAATCTATCACATTCTTCAGTCATCTCTTGAAACAAAATCATTTTATTGGTTCCAGGCAGTAAGAGSTCCCTACTCCTGCAGTTAACTCCAGACATGTAACCTTGGGTTAGTGGCCAAAGCTCTCACTGGAGTTATTTATTTTTYATGGATAGTGATCAATGATGAGTGCTAATAATGACAGAAGTGATTTCCAAGTTAAAATTTAAGAATGCAAAATTTAAGGTTAACACATTTCCTGGTGTTTGACTGAGCAGCATGTGTTTAAAGACACACACATTCTTTTACTTCAAAATGTTTTATTCTCCTTTTGAATCCCCACCTTGATGCTGATCTGACAGTGGTGCAAATGAGAAGGTGACGGAGGTCTCTCTGATGTAAAATCAAAGTGAATTCAGACRCACAGTGCAGATACTGGAGGAGTGTGAAGCACAGAGCACGTAAACATAACAAATAGCTGCAGACRCACAAGTACAGCAAGTGCCAAATGTCTACAGTGCTGCAAATTAACTGCTATGACAGGAGATCTTGCAGAGCTGCTCAGAATGGAAAAGCAAAACTCGATTACAGAGATCATAAAATCACCCTCTGCCTTGATCTTCAGCTCCCTGAACCAGGAGAGGAAGGAAGAGCTGGCTGTGAGCAATCTTTTATCGGTGATGGATGTGGCACTGCTTTGTCCAGTAAAATTGYTGATTTACTAATAGTTAAAAAATAAATCCTTTGTGATGACACCAACCTCTCTAACCTGCTAAAGAAAGTGCAAACAGATGGGTATCTGTGTGACTGTGAGTGATGAAAGCAGTCTGGAGAAATACCCACAGCRTCTGACGAGAGCTGATATTGCAGCGTGCAGGAACATCACCAGCATCCCCCATTAGGATAAATTCATTTTCYTTGTGCCAAGAATATGACCAATGATACTGGATGGTTTGATTTAATATATCTGCCTCTTCTAGYAAAAAGGCAACAGATATTTTATACAAAAGTGAAATGTGCCCAGGGAAGCCTGGACAGATTTAAATTCCTTAGGCTTTCCTCTTTATTGCAGTGCCAGCAGACTTAAGGGACTTTTGACCCTACTAGTAAATTTTTAAGTAAATGTAGGATACCTGATTTATGGATCTGAAAGGGAGAGGAATAGAATAGCATTTTGTTTCTGATAGGAGAATCTGTTTTTAATTTTTTTTYCCCTTTATATGTGAAATTCCATGCAGGCTTTTCCTTAGGACTGCTCTGATACACTYCAAGAAAAATTGCAACCAAGTTGGTCAATTTAAACTAGTACAAACTACAGATATAAGCCAGGTAAAATATGTAAGTGAGAACAGARTGAGGCCTTGCATTGTTGTTAGAGCAGATAAATGTGGCTCAGAAACTTATTTTTAGACTTACATATTTTGCAGTAAGTCAAGCACTTCAAGAGATGAATACCCATCACATATCACTACAGAGGAAATGGTACTTCGTTGATTATAAATCAAAATTGAAGGACTTTTTGGGTGCAGCTCATCAAACACTGACTTAGGAAACAATTTTCTTCTGGAATATTTTTCTCCTCATCAATCTACAAAGGCAGTAGGGTAATTTCTGTGGTTTCGGTATGAAGAAATACTTATCCTTTAATCCTTAAATCACTGCAATTGAGTATAATTTCATGTCAAAAGCAGCCAATAAAAGTACAAAATAGGGATTAGCAGGAGTATTTTTAGATTAAAATTACTGGAATTGGAAAGAAGTGGCACATAATCTCAATACCTTCACAAGCACTGTTGCAAGTTGGAGAGGATTTGTTCTGTTTCATTTGAAGACTGATGGCATAAGTTACAAAGCACAGAAGCCATTATTCTAACAGGGAGGATTTCACAATAATCCACACCTGTACATAAATATAATTGAAAGTTCATTCTTTTTTTGTCTGATATCTCCTAATCATCAATGCTATGCAATATTTCTGCTTCTACTGGCAAAGGACATGGGAAGGAAAGTGAAACCCATCATTTTGGCCATAAATTAGGACACTCATAGAGCTGCAACAATTGCTTTCATTTCTAAGTAWTAAAACAAATGACTACTCTCATGTGACCTTGAGGCACAAGATTCTCRTAGTTTATATTGTGATATAACTCACAGGAGTGAATATAAACTTCTGTTGGGACAAAAAAAAATTCCCTTCATTCTCTTCACAAAGGGTTCAAGCTGGCATCATTTGTAGCATGAAGTCCTAAATCAGTTTGCATATTCAAGAGAAAAATGTAAAACAATCYCTCGGCCTCTGATATACAGCTCACTTTTGAAAGAAGCATGTGCTTTTTTCCGATCCTGATACCTGGGATATTTCTTAAATCTTGCCTGGAGTTGTATCTGACAGGTATGAATCACAGTAAATGGCAGATCTCTCTGCATTCCCACTTCAAAAACACAGACAAATTTRTTGGTTAATGTTTATATAACACAGTGTAAGTGTGCCTGATTTACTGTGCCAATACCTACAGCTGTAGAATGTCTGTTTGACTCAACAGCGTTTAAAGGCCCTTTGGGGTGCACAATGTGTATCCCATTATCCCATTAATGACAAAGCACAGCTTTAGGCAGTAGCAGAATAGTTATTTATATGCACAATGATTTTTTTTTCTCTTCCTCAACCACTTTTACAGCTTCCCCAAGTTATAGAAGAGTCAATAGCCGGCTCAGTGATGCTGGCAGACTGAGCAGTACTTTGTACACACTCATTGCTAGGGAGAGAAAAATGTTGAGTTTATTTTTGTGACCTTTAGATTCTGWGAACTGGCTAAAATCAATTTATAGTTCAAAGAGATGGGATGATACCTACACTAAGCAGTAAAATTGCTTCCACTTTGATAGAGTGTGTTAAAATATAACACCAAGGTGATGATCATTGATTTGGATACAGAATGGGAAGCGAAGGGGGGTTGGTCAAGTGTAGGAGGTCAGGGAACAATTTGACAAGTTTCAAGCCACTCTGTCTTGAATACTTAGGAAAAAGATTTAGAAGAAAACCAAGGAATCTAACCTARCAACTACTGTTATTAAGGAATAAACATGAGTACTCCTGGCAGATCACTCTGTGCAGTAAAAAGGGGAGAATCATCCACACTGTGCCTGTAGAACCATACACTGAATTTTGGGAATATCATTGAAAGAGCAGGATCAGATGACAGGGGTTGCTCTGCCATTGACACTTTCTACCTGAGGTCAGGACCCAGCTTTTCTTCCACCACAGCAGAAAAAAACTCTTCTAATGATCAGTCCTCAGAGATTAATGGGAGCAGCTGAGTTTAGGAGCCCCCTGAGGAAGAATATTGCTCAGGCTATGAAAAATACTSTAGAAATTCTTTAATTATCTGTTGCCTTCAGTTGTTGGTGTATTTCTTGCATGACACTTTGTTTATTATTGTCTTCACAGGTCACCTTGCAGAACAGATGCTTTGCAAAAGAAGAATTAGGAAAGAAGGGGAGCTGAGTGATACTGGCATGTGCCGCGGTCTGATCTCACTGAGGAGGAAACATGTTCTGCACTCCTGTGCCAGCGCTGAGGCAGAAATACAGATGTGGTGATTCATACCATTGAGCAAGTCCTGTCGTGAAGAATTCCCCCTGGTAGCAAATCAGGTGGTTAATCTATTGGATTTCACCTCGTGGAGCCAGGTATTCCTGAAACAATCCCTGCCAGCTGCTCCTCAGGTGAGTGACAGAACACWGCCRTCAATATTTGATTACAGAGCACAGYGTGYTGGAATGCCATCYTARYTCACTCTTTCTCACAGCTTTTCTATRCAAAAACTTTCCAAAATTATAGAAAATAGAAAATACCTGCTTTGGGGATTCTGGTACAGGTTCGACCATTTCCAAAAAACCCTGCTGGGCACCGGCCACAGATGTAACCAACGTAAGGAGGTTTTCGGTCAAAACACGGAGCTCCAGGAAAACACGGCCGGCTGGCACAGGTGGGGATGTGTGACACAGGTGCTGCAGGGCCAAAAAAATAAGGGACTTGAAGCATGCTATTAATAATTTATCAGATTAAATACATATCTAAAATTTATCAGTGTCTGCCTGAGTCCAGCTAAAGCTTTATAACTGCTTTTATTCTTTTAAAGTTTAATTAATGCAAAATGTTCTCAAACCTTGAGCCAAACATGAGAATGTCCTGTAGGCACAGTGTAAGGGAACAGCTGTTTCTCATTAAAGCAAGATTTATTAGTCCTCTAATTACATGTTTTCAAGTTTATTACTCAAAGTTGTTTGGCATTTATCATGTACAATATAGAAACTGTAATTTTCAGCATAAGTGAAAAATTAACTGAGTGAGAAAAGGTATTATTTGACATCTTTTTGGTCTTTTATAATTGCAAGGTAATTATCAAATCTTACAGCACCTATACCCTACTTTTGAAATTACACTGTGAAGTACATATGTTTCTGATCTGGAAATCATCCTTAAAGTGTCAAACCTTGTATTACAGAAAACTGCTTTAATTATCTCAGGACTATGAGCAAAATTTAGCACTCTGGTAGTATATRATATTTTATCACTTGTGATGTCACTGAATAGCAAGTGTATATGAACTGCCTGTGAAGTATTTAATYGTGTCAAGACAGAGAACAGATGATRAATACAATCTTAATGACGGCTGTAGATCTTTTTTAATTGCCTCCAGTGAGGTCTCCATCATAATTCTCAAGTATTTTTCTGCATTATTCTTGCACCTTACCTACAGCTTTATGATATAGGATACCTGCAAGAGGCAAGTTCTACTCAGGGGTTGGCTGGCCTTGTGCAGATATTTAAAAAAATTTATTTTACATGTGCCTCTATACAAACAGATATGGCCAATCTCATTTTTTTTTGCTTCCTGCTTTCCCTAGAAAATCAATTAAACATGCAACATTCATTAGAACCAACATAAGCATCATGCAGGTGCACACCCATGACAGAAAGTGCTGTAGTGCTGCACCTTTGGGAAAAGCTCTTTCCTCAAGTTGATCTTCATTTATGCTAAAAACTCAGTATTAATTCAGTGGCTGCCCATTAAATACTGAAATAAAACCCCAGSATCACCTGGCTGGTACAAGCTGCAACTCTTAATTTCTTGTTTTCCATTGATTACTAAAATTTGGAGTGAYTTTGTCCTCCCTCAGAAGTGATGTGGTTTCTAATTAAGCTATTGCTGCAATGCCTCCATTCCATCTCAAACTGTTTAGCATCACTCCACAGTCTGATGTATTAAGTGGGTTTTCATTTCTAGCTCAATTTTTCTTGTATTATAAACAACTGGTTTGTATTTAYTGTCAAGGTGTTAAAATTAATGATTTCTGAGTACATAAACTGCCCCAAATGAAAAAGATTCCATATTCATGCATACCTACCGTGTCTATCACTTATGTTAAAATTCTTAATTACAGGAGAATCCTTTGCCTCTGAGGACTGCAGTGGCTGCTTAACCTCAGTCCTGTTCAATTCCCCTTTGCCATCGCTGAAAGCTTCTGTAACGTCAGCAGCGAGCACAGCTRTGGAAAATACCACAGAGACAAGAAACAAAGTGTTAGAGCTTAGCTGTGATTGATGATAAAAAGCCACAACAAATCAGGTAACCTGGCATAAGTTTACTCTGGAAGCCAACRAGCAAAGAAAGGCAGATGAGGTGAGTCCAGCTGCTGACACGCAGCAAAGCTTCAAGTGGAAGGGAAGTTATTATGGCCAAGCTCCGTGAACTCTGCTTATCTGGGAGTTTAAATATGCACTGGGATTTTTCACTGGGCTCRGGGCACTGGGAAAGCCTCAGGTCAAGCAGTGTTTGCCAGAAATGATCCTCGGGTGGGGGCTGGGCTCTGTCTGAACCTCTCTTAGAAAGCTCCTCTCTAAAACTGTGGGGAGTGTTTGTTGTCTTCAGTCACTCCAGCTGCCAGCTTGGTATTTGTCAAAATACCTGTGCAGAATGTGTGTGGATGCAATGAGGGAAAATGATTGGCAGAGGCTCTGAAAAAAAGTGATTTTCTGCATAATTTTACCGTAATTAATTCAAAGCTTATTTAAGGTAATGAATTGAGGACAGTGCTGCAAGTTAAACAATTATTATCCTGGGTTTCTTGAATATTCTCTGCTAAAGCTGAGACTCTGACTCTATATACGTATTAAACAATGCAATGAATTGTTTCTCACTCTAGAAACTGTAAAATTTGGTTCCTCCCTCCTCTTGTTTAGGCAAGGGAAATATGAGCACAAATGTTAAGTCTGTGTATCAGAACTACAAATAATGATTTCTTTCCTTTTTTTGGGTGGACAAGGAAGCACTCAGGTATATTCCCTCTAATAAATGTGCATTTCTGAAATAGATTTTTTTCCCTGTAATTAAGAAAAAAAAGAGCAAAGAAATGTTCTATTTTTCAAAAGCACATTATTTGGTATATCCTTCCTTTGTGGGTCAAATCAACCACTAAAATATGCATTAGTGAAGCAGATGCAAAATCACTTTGAAATAACCARTGTGGCCAAAGGATACAGCACAGAAAACTTTATGTACAGATGTCTGGCAATATGATTGAAGGGATATTTGGTGAATCTGGCAAAGGCAGTCCTGCTGGTGCCAGAGTCCTGTAGTTACCACTCAGTCTTTTTAAAATGGATATTTTTTTTCCTTTCTGTAGTGAATATGAGGAAATGTTAACATCTATGCAGTAAATATCTGTATCTTTCACTTCTTGGCTTTCTTTGGAAATACCAACAACCAAACTAGTAAAAAAGTTTTCAATTGTTGATTTATCTCCTTCTGGTCAAAGAAAAAATTGTTTTGGAGGAGGCTTGTGTTTGTGTGACTGAAAGAAGCAGAGTGTGTGTGGGTCACGTTAAGTGCAGCGGGAAGGTCTCAGAGTACAAAATCACCGCAGGCTCCCCAGTAAAGAGTTTGTTTCTCCAAAAGTAAACATAGGACAGATCTAAAACTGTTCATGGCCATTTTCTTCACTGGCTGGGATCTGTGGAATGACTCCATGCCAAGCATCTGTGGGCTGTGTCCTCTAATGAAAACACCTTGGAAACAGAGGTGAAAAGATGGGAAGGATTGGCACTGGGACCTTCTTTCTCTTGTTCTTCCTCCAGCAGTCACCCAAAACAAAACCAGCCCTGGGGGGCTCCCCAAGAACTCTCTTGTGGGTGGTATATTTAGGAGTGAAATAGTGGAGAATGTGTAGAATGTCCTTGCCAAATTATCTATCAGGAAAGTGACTTTTTTTTTTTTGTATGCTCTGGTGTGCATTCTGTACCAAAATGAAAAGCAACAGAGCAATTTGCAAATATCCACATTAATACAACATRGCAATAGTCTGTTCTGTACATTTAAGAATCTGTACTTGAAATGAGTGGCAAAGTACTCGATTAAGGATAATAGTTGTAGAATTTAATCCATCTYCCCCCCATCTATTAGAATAAATCATGTAAAACACTTACATTTGCAAGTTTTACCATTTCCCTCCATCCCACTGGGGCAAATTCCACATGCATAAGATCCAAAGGTATTCACACAAGACACTCCAGGAAAACAAAGACTCTGTTCGCATTCGTTCTTGTCTTCCTGACAAGTAAGCCCTGTGGCAAAGCAAAGGGGAAGTTAATAATCATGAAAGATTCCCTGTTTATACTTCAGCTCAAATGTTGAAGCAGACAAAGGATCTCTTCTCAGCTGCACACTCATTACAGGGTATGTCACTCATGTTCCAGCCAAATTCCCCACTGTCTCACTTAAACCTGCTTTTATCACACTGTTTATTACTGTCCTTATTGGCACCAGAAGTGCTGTTCATGGAAAGCTGGGCATGTTAAATAAAAATGCACATAAATGAAATTAATATTTCCCCTGCATTTCACATCTTTGCTGATGGTTTTGTTGTCTTGTTAATGTGAGGTCTTTGTCACATACTGAAGAAGCCAATGAATTTCAGCATTTTGGATTTAGGATATGAGGAGCTGCATGCTTACCTATTTGCTTCCCATAATTCACATAACTGACCCATCCTGACAGAGTCTGGATAAAGGTAAATCTAACAAAATTATCAATTAAAAAATATCAAAGCCAAGTTTTTCTATTTAAAATTAARATTTGAAGAAACATTCTGAAAATGTCACAGAAGACAGGCTGCCACAAGATCTGGGTCCAAAACGATATTTCTTGGGTATTGCTGATTTTGGAAAGAAGGTTTCAAAACTCCCTCAAAGCCACTGATATTCAAATTCACAACTTTGAGTGATTTAGTGAATACCTTTAGGGGAAGGAGACCCAAAAGTTAAAATTACTATCTGAACAGCAATGAGGCAGAATAATCAAATATAATATTGTTTAAAACTCGGCTACTGCTGGTCACAGGATGTACAGCCCTAAGGGCAGATCATAAATTAGCCCTGACCACTTCTGTTTAGGCATCCCCTTTGTCCCTGGAGGAATAGACAAGGACATCGGGATAACTTCTGCAGAATTCAGGCCTCAAGACATGCCACCAGGTACAGAAAAGTTTGCTCCATATCAKGTAGCCAGCTTTATCATGAGAACCCAGCTAAGGATGAAGGAATTTTTATTTTTTTTTTTATTTTTTTTTCTCCTTCCAAAAAGAAATTTGTCACAGCGAAACGAATTGCTGGGTGATAAAAACAAAGCATTATTATTCATCTCCTACAATATAATCTCTCGTTACTTCAGCATTGCAGACAGCTTTCACTACTCCTGTCGAGTTCAAATAGCATCTCCATGTAGAAAACTCGAATTGAAGTCTCTTTATTGGTTGAGCTGCCTAAAAAGCCATTGACATCACCTTCCCATTCCTGCTTTGTGTTGAGGAAAGAAAGAGCAGCAGCACAAAAGCCAAGCTCCTCTTCCTGTGCCATCTCAAACTAATTTGTTCTGGTTTTCATGCTTCTTGCTTCATTTATTGAACTGGACATTAGACAGTGTTGCAGGGCTACGTTTACCCTTTTCCTTCCCTCATTATATTTTGGATGGCTGTTTATATGTCATTATTTAATTATTGCATTCCTAGCATCAGGCTGCTTTTCTCTGATGCTGGCTTCTGGTGAAGTATTGGGAAATTATTAGACATCAAATTAYGGAAAAGATTGAATGAGTTACCCTCTGATTAGATTAGTAATTACTTTCTTTCTCTGAGTATCACATAAAGACTAAACAAGATACCATAAATAATGAGAGTAGGAACAAAGTTACCAGTTTCAGTCAACAGTAAATTCTCTCCGTCCTTCTCATACTCTCCTCACATTTAACTACTCTAATTTCTCTGTAAACAGCTGTCTATYAAATCTCAAAGATCAGGAAACAACAAAAGTTGAAGGAATGCCTTTAAGTAACAAGACAAATTTTAAAATTCAGTCATTTTTCTGATTTTTCTGACGCAAAGGTGAAACTATGCACGCACTGCTTTTCACACAGAGAGGCTGATTTTTAAACAGTGTCTGACCAATTTGGGCAWAATGATAATCCAAATGAGTTCAAGGGCAAATGTTGGCTGAATGATGCTGAAGAAGCAACAGAAATGGATAGAAAACAATCTGCACCAAGAAATGCCAATTATTCTGTTTGCACGACCTCCAGTGCACTGTAGCACAGGGGAGTCTCAACTGTTTTGGCACTGCTACAGTGCAAATAAAAATAATAGAAAAGGAAGTTCTTCAAGTTCCAAGGTTGAGCCATCTGTTTGTGTGCTAGATATATTTCTCTATCCCTGCAAGGGAAGTTGTCTGAGAGAATAAAGTTCTTTCATGCCTCAACAGGAGCTGACCACCTACAGATGCAAAGAAAGATTTTTTTTGACTGTGTGAACATTAAGATGACTCTAAAGGAGCAGGAAATTTGCTTTAGAGGCTCTATGGTTATTCAAAACCATTAACAAATACTGGGGGTTTCTTCAGTTTCCTGAAGTATAAAATGAAATTATTAATCCATCTTGCTCCCCATCCCACCCCCAACTTCGTGCTAATCACTGTATATGGGGAAAGAAATAATGATTTTGTGATTGGGATAGTTTTCAAGGATGAGCTCTGCTGTCAGGTGGATGATGTTRCTTTCTGTGGCCAAAAGAATAAACATCAGGAATCCTTGTTATCCTGTTGACAATGCAGATGAAAAATGAATGAGCTTTGAACACTCAGAGATACAGCAATAATTCTTCTCTCAGATTTTCTGCTGCCTTTTCTCCCTGCTTTTTTCCCATTCTTACATTTTTTTCTCCCTGCTTTTTTCCCATTCTTACATTTCACCCTTACTCTGATGCACCTGAGCTGCTGCTTCCCTTGCAGAGCTGTTGGGGAAGCTCTCACAAGTTCATTTCTTGTTTCTACTGCCTGTTTGCTGTCATTTGTAAAGATTTGATGGTGAAGTGGTGCTGTCACTTGAGCTGCACAGCACTGGCTTCTCATTAGATTATTGATGGTTTTCTGGGGAATTGAGGCATAAACACAGCATCAAGGATGAGTTTTATTGTTGTCACAGAACCTGCCCTGAAGTAAAATCATCTGCTTCCCAGCTGGCTTTCAGTTCCACTTGCTTATAATTTTTCACCTGCTATTCAAACTTTGAGATGTATTCCTTTTTCCTTCAATCATATAATTTTTTTTGTTGTTTTCTTTTGTTTCTTGTGTTTTAGCCGTTCAGGAAAAACAGGGAAGAACAGCAAAACCATTGCACTGTTATTTAACTTTCAAGAACTAAAGGTGCAGGAAAACCTGGTGTTTCTCTGGCCATCAAGGTGTCATATGCCCTTGTTTCTCCAGTCAGCAGGTCCACTGAATTTATTAACTCATGGATTTACRTTGATCTTTATTTATTTAATCCAATTCCTTGTAGGCCATCAATAGTTGCTTTCATTATATATCTCCAGTTTAATCAAGTACACCATAAATATTTCCCAATTTTCCCTGTGCTCATAGGAATGTTCTATTCAGAGGATTCAGGACATTCTGCATATGTTTGGTTGGCTCGGGGATTTTTATATTTTGATCAAACATCCATGTTGGAACTTTATTCTCCATGCTTAGGTTTGTGTATTCTTGCCTTAGAGGAGTCTCTGGTGGTGTCAGGACTTTGGACAGCAGAGGGTTTTGACCATTTGGGAGCATTTCCTGGAGTCCACAGATTGGGTGTCACAGACCTCTGAGGCCATTTTTCTGTATTTCTACTTCTGAATTATTTTTGTTTTTCATTTTGATGGAATTTGATAAAAACAAAGTCTGGGCTTACAGTCCCACATGACCAAAGCAACGAAGGTTCCACAAGCTGCTGACAGGCAGGAAGGGTGCCTTGTGCACTGGGTAAAACCTGTTCACAGCTTTTGTTTCGAAATTAGGTGTTTTCTGGATATATGCATTATAAACAGTAAAAATTATGTACATTTAATGTTAGTTCTGCTTTATTTTTGAAGCTTGTAATACTGACAGCAGCCAAATTTACTGGTGTCATGAGTGTAAACAGAGCAGGGGTTAAGTGATCATCTCTTTTCCCTTCATGCCTTAAAATCACACTTTGGCTGCTGTTCTGGTTTTGGCTGGGATAGAGCTCTGAAGGCAGGGCACCAGCCCTGAAGAGTTTCAAGGGTTAGATTTTGTTTCATCATCATGTCTGACAACTCAATGGGATTGTGATTTTTCTAAAGCTTAAATTTAATGAAGCTTCAAGTAGGACTAAAGGACAATTTATTTTTGCATGTTTTCCATGTCTACTCCTTCCTGTACCTAAAAACCCCCATTTATTCTTAGTTCTTTGCTCAACTTAATGAAATGAGGTCCTGTAGAGTGCAAAAGGGCCCTGGATCTTTGCCTCTTCTCTCTTTCAATCAGTCCTCTAGCTCATCTCATGGGTGGACAAATCCATGGGAAATGAGCAGGGAACAACTGAGATCAGAGAGGTTCACAGACTCCTTGAGTGATCATCTCAGGAGCTTTAGGTCATTTTCTTTATCATTAGACAGCTGTTTTTGCACGTTTTTCTCTGTGTCTAGAGCTAAGCCATGGGAGCAGAAGAGCAGGATTATGCACAAAGTCCATTTGGAAGGTGCTGTGGTCATGCTACACTCAAAAATCCTGCATCAACACATCTGTCATCAAAGCAGGGTGTTACCTCCCAGACCAGGGGGGCATTTACAAAAGTAGCCCTCCACGCTGTCCACGCAGGTCCCACTGCCACAGGGGCTYGATTTGCAGTCCCTCATGTCTTCCTGGCAGAATTCTCCATCAAATCCATTGGGACACAAGCACAGGTATTCCCCGAGGCCTGGAGGGTGTTTGATATTGGTGACACATGTCCCACCATTCAGGCAGCTGCAGAGCTTCACTCCAACCTGAGGGAGGCAAAGGGAATTCTGGCAAAATTCCTCTGGATAATCACAGCTGGGAGATGTGTTGTTACCCTTTAGGAAGGGAGAGATTTACATTACTCAGTATTATGAAAACTTATTTCTAACCCATTTCCTTTGTCTAGATAGATGGCCTTATAGTCAGAGCACTTATTTATTTGACTTAGAGCTCGACTTCAAAGAGATTTCTTTTTTCATCATTTAGGGGCACTTTCTTACTTCTTTTAAGGAAAAAAACCCAACCTTATTTGCTGTAACAGCAGCTTTCACATCGTATCTGAGGGCAGAATTTGTTCCTTATTCTTCAAAGAAGAAAGGAAAAAGTCTTTTTTCTTTGCCTGCCTGCCCACCTTACTGTTTCACATTACAAATGGCTCCCAGGCAGGAACATGACTGTGGCATTCCTTATCTGGTCCCTCTCTTCAGGGAAGGGAGATCCATGGCTGTATTTTACRTATGTACAAGAACTGCATTTCGACAGATTCAAAGCTCTGCATTATCTCCCCCAGATAACACGGGTCTAGTYTGAAATATTTCCATTAAAACGATATCCAGGCTCCCATTTTCCCTCTGCTGTGTGGGTTCAGCAGATTGGTATTTTGCTGTTAGAATGAGTAAAAATAGGAATCTCTAAGAATAAAAATCTTTTCTTCACAAAACTGTTCTTATGTCAAGAGCCTGCATCCTGCTTTATTAGCTCATCCGATCAGAGGATTAATGTTAGCCTATACAATAAAGACAAAGCAATGCACAAGCTCTGCCAAGAAACTTAGAGTGTGGAGTAATGACATAAGAGCAAGACATCCTCTAAAAATATCATTGAGAATGAGTTATAATCTCCCTTTTATAGCTAAAGCCTGGTCTTTTATGTTATATGCTTTTTTTGTGCAATCCAGATGCAGAATGTGAATTTTAAAGCAGATTAATGAACCATTAAAAGGCTCTGCAAGAATGTTCTTTCAAACAGCAATCAATAGCTCTCTCTCTTGTTCCCTGCATATATMGTTTCTATGTTCTCAGAGATATTTTTTCCATTAGTTGATCATTATTGCTGTGCTGGATATTACACACTTTTGAGGAAACAGCTGAAGCCTTGTTTTCCGTGACAGTAACGAATTATTACCCATGATGACAATTGCACAATAGTGTTGACATGACAAACAGGTTCGTTTTGCTTTTCCTTTAAATCCTCTTTCCCTTACCTCAATCGAGTACCTGCTCTGTGCATTGGACTCGTCTGACACAGTGAATTCAAAGGTCTGTGTTTCTTCTGARTCAACTTTCCAGATGAGGAGGCCAGCAGGAGAGAGCCTGGCATCCAGTGGCCCAGCCTCCAAGATGAATAGCACAGCCGACCCCTCGGGATCCGCTGCTGTTAGCTGGTAAACAAAATTCTCACCAATAAATGTCAGCAGCTGGCTGGAGGGGGCCTGGAACACAGAAGGCAGGTTGTCTAAACAGCAAAAACGAAACCATGATTACATAAACTCCAGTTTGTCTCATGTGAAGATCCTCAGAGCGGGTCTTTGAAGGAATGCTCTCAAAGAAAGYGTACAGGACATACCCTGAGGCTGTGGGGGAAGTGCTTTGGGTGTGAGAGGCAGCAAATGGCTTTGCCAAAAAGAACAGCTTTTTCCTCTCCCTTTTTTTTGTTCCCTATACTGAATTTTTGTCCCATCCTGYACTTTGATTAATTTTGATGTGCTATCTGGTATACGGGAGTAAGTAATATATAATTTCTATAACTTTCTCCAATCCCAGTTCTTGCTAAATCTGTAATTATTTATAACTCTTATACTTGCATACATATTTAATCTATCTACCATCCATCCATTTAAATATAAGTGAATTAAACCTCAAAATACTGAATGGCAAATTAATTAGGCAGGCAACTCAGAGGGAAAAATAAATTGTAACTCTTCCATTGAGTAGACTCTYCTGCCTTTACCCATGAGGAGTAATTAAGCCTGAGCAGTCTGACTGAATTCAGTYGGACATTTCATCAGGAATAAAGGTCTTTTCAGTGCCAGCAGAGATACATCAGTGGTGCTGAGACTCTCCATCCCCAGTGACAGTGGTGTGTATCATGTCACCATTGGCACTGTTATTCTTGGACTGCTGTTTAAATTCAGTATTTCCTTAACCAAGATAAAGCCCCCTGATTTTTCAAAGCTGTTTTACAGCAAAAGACAAATGCTACCTGAAGATACTTCAATATATATAGATAAGGAGGACAAGGTAGAGAAAATGATTACATTTTATAATTAGAAACCAAGGAAAAGTAAGATCAGATGAGTACCCTGAGGTGACAGCAGCTCTTTTCAGGGCCAGGAATTTCATCTGCATGTCCTAAGCCTCCTCAATCTCAAGGCATCTTTCCTCTTTACCCAGCAGTGCAAACTGACAGGTATTGATATTTAAAGGAATCTTCTCACAATGTAATTTGACCAGTTATGTTTAACTTAAAGCACATTTCTAATTCCAAGGATTAATTTCAAGCCACGCTCTAAAATGATGAACTATATATGTGTTCTCATAAGGACTCCTTGCATTGTGCTCATGGGAAATCATCATTAGGGCTTTTTTTTTTTTTTTTTCCTTTGTGGTGCATCTAATTTTTATCCAACTTCGATTTCCATAGCCTAGCTTATATTATGCAATTATTTAAATATGTGACTCCTTTATTGCTGCTGTGCTATGAGAGCTTTCTAAAATGCTTGTCCAGCAGATTGTCCTGGCATAACTGTTGAAAGCTTCCATCTATTCATTTGCCTTTTATTTCCCAAACACTAAAGCCATGGAGCCCATAAAAGTTGTGCCCAAAGTAATCAATGAAATATTGATGCTGGGTATGCATTTATGGATAAACACAAAGGTGTTAACGGGATGGATGGTAAGTGGAAGTGGTAGGCACAAAATAACATAAAATCAGATGTTCTGAAAGGAGTTTGTGGGGGAGTGTTTCTAATTCTGCAGAGATCTGMTTGCCATCCAGTAAATATATATACACACTCCCTATTGCTGCAGGACTTTAAAAGAAGTTTTCCCACTTTTSAAAATAGGTCTGACAAATCCTTTCTTTTAAACATTTAAAAATGTTGACATAATTAAAAAATGAACCATGATGAATTTTAGAGTTCCCAAATCACTYCTAGCTTTGTAAATTWMAAAAAAAAAAWGCAGTTGTTCCTTTTTTAACCATTTTCTGGATTTTAAAATTGAGCTGCCTTGTTGTTAGTAATGGATCTGTGTAACAGCATCCCTAGGGATGCTGCTGCTCTGGTCAGCACAATGCTAGGCCAAGGCTGGATGTGGCTCTGAGCAATCTGGTCTGTCCRTGGCAGGGGCAGGAATGATTTTTAAGGGATTTTTAATCATCCTGTTGGGACAGGATGATTTTAAGGTCCATTTCAAACCGTTCAAACCTTTTTATCATTTTGTGATTCTATGACAGAAAGGAGGCAAGGTCTGTGAGTCACAGATAATATCCCTCTTTAGACTTAAATATTTTTTGGGGGAAAAAACAAGTTTTCAACTGTGCAGGCTCTCCTTCAGGTCTGACTTACCCTTAGGCATTTTAACTGCCCATCCAAGTGACATCCAAAGGGATTCTTAGTTGGCCAGCATTTGGGATGTTATAAAACTGCAGATAAGCTAAGCAGACTGGTCCTGTGACTCACACGTCTTTCTGTAATTTGTGTTTACAAAACCTAAAAGTGCAGAGAAACTCTTTCTGGAAGCACCACGTGGATCTCCATAAAAATAGCAATATCATCTTTATGTTGACCAGATTCAAATGTTCTCGTGTAAGGGAGGGGATGGACTCTGAAGGATAATAATGCTGCTGGAAACATGGGTTGTCTGTAAAGCATGGGGCAAGCAGTGGTTGTTGTTTACACTGGGCATGAGGCCATGAAAAAACTGTGATTATGTCTTCACCCTTCAGGAGATGCTTCAAAAGRCAGCCTTCCCCATGACCCCTGCCTTGAGGGGCTGCAGAATGAGCCTGTGAAGGTAATGAGTGGCTGATCCCAATTCCTTGGACTCCCTGCCAAGCCAAGCTCTGTTATGTGGCATTTCATAGGATTTGGCTCAGAGAAAGGAAGCAATTCTTCYAGACACCAAAAATACACACTAGTGTTTTAAAAACAGTATTTTCCCCAAATTGCTTCTTGTAAGATTTGTACCTGCGAGATGCTGACAGAGTTATTTAGAGCTCATCACCCTTAGCTGACAGACTTGGGCAAGGCAAGGGGCACTGACATATTAAAATTTAATTTTCAGTTATTTCTAAAATGTATTAATTTGAGGTTTATCAGATTTCAGACAGAACAAGATGCACAGTGCATGCAGTGGAGTTTGCATTTCTGGTCTGCAAACAGTCCATGTGCACCACACAGGATCGACTCAGGTTAGATAAATGGAGGAATGATATATTTAACAAAATGAGCCATAAATTCCCAGGTGAGTGTTTCTRAATTGTAGAAAAGAAACCCCTGTCTTACTTTCATTAACAGACCAGACGAACTTTGAAATTTCAGGTTCACAGAGAAGACAAGGGCTGGTAGGGCTTGACTCTCCTTCACCATAGCAAAGTCCATCTATGTTGCAAGTATTTTCCTGCCCAAAAAAAAAAAAAAAAGGTGGGAGGAATAAAAATGGAAGGGAGGTGAAGGCAATGAAAAAAGGAAATAAGAAAGATAAGAAATTAGTAATTAATAATTTCTGGATATAAGCAGAATTTCACTTGTCTCTTGAAACAATGAAAAAGTAGCAATTTAAGTGCTGATGTTATGTGCTCACAATGAGGAAACAAGCCAGGGAAGTTTTCCAGTTTCAGCCTGAGATCCTTTTAGCTTTGAATGTTTTAGTTTAGGTAAAGTGGTGTTGCTTTGTCATAGATGGATGATGGWTGCAGCAAAATGTGACTCTTTTCCCATTTCCACACTCATGAGGTGCATGTGGTCATTGTTCCTAGCTGTGACTGTTAAAATGTGTCAGGAATCCATAAAAGGTGTGCTCTACAAGACTCACAAAAAACCAAGATTAGATAAAAGTTCCATTTGAGCTTTTTGCGCAAAATTCTTTTGCAAACTGTGTTGGTGAATATCCTAAACAATACCACTCTWAGAGCAATGGGTAAGGTAGAGAAACAAAAAAGCATTCTCATGATGGCCCTGACAYGACAGAACATGACAGATCTCCAGCATTAAAACCAGGTTGTTAATTAGATTTTTTACATTGTTGTTTTCAAGGGCTTGATGCTCTGATGAAAAAAAAAAAAAAAGCTTTTTTCTCCTGATGTGATGGTGTGGTACAGAATGGGTTCCATAAAAGAACACAGAATGTGAAATGGCCTGATATAAAATGTCCCCTAATTGAAACACCTTTTCTGAAAGCAATTTAGGTGTTGCAGAGTAATGTAGAAGGGGTAATTAGACTGTGGTCTGATGCAATTGGAAGCCTMGTTCAAATATTCCCTTGAAGCATCTTAGAACAGAAATTACTATAATCCCTAGGGAACACCATATTGAGAGACCATAGATATTTCCAAGTTTCGAAAACATAAGGAAAACTTTAGACAAAAAATTTTGACAAAAAAGGCCCTTACCTTATCTTTTAAGTGAAATTATTCTGCCCTGATTATTTTAATCTGAAACTCAAGTGGTCTTGCCCTCATTTGGGCTCTTTTGGGTTTCCTGCTCTTATCTTTCCCCATGAGCCTTCCCCATTGTGTCCCCTGCCCTGCTGAGGAGAGCAGTGACAGAGGGACTTTGGGACATCCACCCGGGGTCAAACTACCACTTGAGCCTATGAAGTAACTTCTATTTGCTCACTTATTTGAAAAAAAAATAAGTGAACTTTTTTTTTTTTTATTATTATTTTGGTAACGGGTATGTACTTGCAATCAGCGCAGGTTTTAAAACTCTATTTTCTCATCAGCATTAATGAGAACAGTAAGGCAAATGAATTAAGATGTACCTGATTAATCTTCATTTTATAAAAATGCAAACTGGTGGTCCCCTATTAATTCAATATTTGCCTCAGGGCAGGAAAGCAGGATCAGCAGATTCAAATAGCCCACCTAATACCCTCAAAAAATTTTTTGAAGCCCTACTGCAAAACCAGGTAATTTGCTTAATGTGAATCTCTGGAAAAAAGAGCAGAGAAGTTCTTTTTAAGGGATGCTACTCCACTAAGTCCASAGGAAAACAGAGGTTTATAGCACTCTGCAAGCAGTTTCTAACATGTTGGCAGTTTAAAACGTAGCTCTAGACTTTTGATTACGGTTTTGAAACTGTCAAAATACTATATGTTTGTACTTAGCAGTGTTTAATGCAAGCAAGAATGGTTTATGCCCTCTCAAGGGTGTTCTCACATGACAAAAGCTGTATAACACGGGTCTTTGTGTGCCTCTTGCTAAGGCAGAAAATGGGGATAGGAATGATATACCCTCAGCAGAAAAGGAGAGGGAAAATAGCAGAGAGACTTCGGAAGGGAAGCAAAGCCTTTCAGGACAGGCTCCTCACTCTTATTTACTCCCTCTAACAGCTGCAGAGGATAAATATTGCCAACCATRGGCTTTCCTGGGGTGTCTGTGTGAGGAAGGTCCACCATAAAGCATGCTCTATCAGGTGTTTGTACCCCACGTAAATATGAAAAAGAAATAAACTATTGCAGATGTGAGATTGTGAAAGAGAAAAGCAAAGTGTTAGGCTGTGCAGATCATCTGTGAAATGGGTTTTCCTCTTCCAGAGCAGTTATTGCAGTGCATCAGAGGGAGGGAGAGGGCTAAGGAAGAGATGAACGATCCGTATTAAACCTTTATGATCTTTAAATTACCTTTAATTTACAAAGTCCGGTCGGATGGAATTGGCAGACCTGGCAGACCGCGTCGTACAGGGTCAGCTCTCTGGAATTACTGTACTGGAAGCCATCGTTAGTGATCTAAATGATACAAAAATCATCTTTATAAGTAATAATGTTCCATATGGAGCCTGTCTGCTCATTGTGGAGCACATWCCACTGCCCCCTTGAACTGGATGCGTGCCAGCAAGATAAATTAAACCACTTGTGAGTGGCTCTGCGAGCTAACAAATTGCTTAATGCTCCAAACTGGAAACTCTTCATTAATAACCAAAAGATCTTTTGGCTCAGCTGGCATTCAGCCTTTCTGATTGCTGGTAAGTTTTACCCTGAGGGATTTTTTTTCTGATACTCTTAGGGAGGGTGTACTGAAGTACTACAGCGGGGTTTTCAAGGAATTGCGAAACACAATTGAGATTTTTGGCTGGAGCTCAGGACCTCCTTCTTACTAATAGCAAATAGGTAAGTAAAATCCTTGGGCTGAAAGAGAAAAAAAAAAAGAGAATGTGTGTTATATGGATTTATTTGAAATTAGCCTTATAAATATGCAATGATGGACAATATGAGAGAGCAAGAGTCTCATTTTTATAGGARGGTGCCTTAGAGCTGTCACCTGTCCCAGCTCACAATGGGCACACGGGGGTAGTTCAGAAAGCCTTGAACAAGGCCTTTTTTATATAATAATATAAAATCTTACACAATACAAGGGTTGAGTAAATTTATATTTTAATGTTTCCACAATAAAAATAAAAAGATAGCAGGGACGTGTGGAAAGGATTAACTTTTGWGAATGCTTTTTGAGATATCTTGAGAGGTGTGAACCATCAAGAAAACCCCAAAACCCTGGGGAAAGCCATGTTCTTGATGAGAACCCCCAGGAAAGCAAARCCCTTTTGCCCTTTTGTCAGGTATTTTTCAGGGTTTTTCTTCTCACAATCAAAATAAAACTTCTGTTTAGCAGATCTAACAAGGCCTTTGCTTTGGATCCATCAGCTACTCCTGCATCTTCTTGATATGAAAAAAAAACCCAAAAACCCAGCCCTCCTCCATCTCTCCTGTGACCCCAAAGCTGGAACATCCTAAATCCATTTACAAGGGATTTTTACAAGATTTAGGTAATGAAGTTTTTGATCAATCAATAAAAACTCAGTTCACAGAAATAATGTTTTGTTAAACTGAACAAAGATAAACAGAAAGCAAAAAATATTTAGTAAGTTTCATTAAAAGCACCAATTATCATAAATTCATGAAGTATGATTGAAAGTTCATGGAAGATTATAAAGCAGACTCTCTCACAATATCTCATGGGATGGTTCTCTGCTCTAAATGCACTGTGAGCTGACAGAAACCACCACAAGGAGARGAACGAGCAATATTCATGGATATTCACAATTTGGACTTGTGGAAGTGAAGTAACTTCTTTGGACTGATATAAATTGRCCAAAAAATTCAGTAAAATTCACTGATCTAGTAAAATTCATCAGTTTAAGGAAAATATGAGAATATTGACATGTTAGACTGTAGTGTGTTGTACTACAGGTAGAAATGCTTTTAAAAGAAGTAAAGAATTTCTGCAATTTGAGAAGAAAAAGAAATAGGCAACCCCCCTCCAGGCTTGCTCTTCACTGAAAGACTCTGGCAGCAAGAATTCCATTAAGAATTTATTATCCTAATGCAATTTACATTTCAGTTAAATTCATTCTTTTTACCAGAATGTCCAATGTTGTCTCAGTTCCAGTGAACAAATAATGGGTGAAGAAATGGCTAGATAAGGAAAAATATAAAAAGCTGTGAAATTTCCCTAACTGTTCTGTCCGAAGTGAGCATTGTGAGTGAAACATAACACTTGCAATTTGATTATTTTTTTTTTTAGTCTATATTTTTTTCCTACATCCTATTTTAAACATCCATTKTGGTCTCTGTTTAGAATTGGGCTGGTTTATAGCTACTTTAACGGCTTTTCCATTAGTCACCTTAGTGATGTGGAACAAACATTTTGATGAGAACTAAGATGAGCAAACCTTTCCTTAAATTTGTTTGGTCCTTAAGGGGCAAAACCCCACCTAGAATTGGGTYTTTGTGTGAGCACAGGTATCATCTGGAAAGAGGGAGCTGCCTCTGGATCAATGGGAAGGGCCATCAGGAAGTTTTTTCTTTCTGCATCAGGAATTTCATCCATCATGAAATGATYTTGGCTATTGGCATCRCTCTACATGGAATTTRTATGAAAGTTTCTGAAAGAAAAAAWKRAA